AGAGGCTCCTATAATCAGGCAGGTGACGACCGAGGGCTTGGAGAGGAGATGCTGCATGAGAGACATTGCCAACAGAGGCTCTAGGGACTTAGGAACGGAGCGGATGAGGCACAAGTAGGACTCTTCATTCCACACATGTGTTTGGCATTACAAGAGTAAAATCCCTCACATACCCATGAAGGCTCATTGATGCCACACAGAGCCACCACTCTGGGTTTGCAATATGGTGTGAATGGCGCCCCCTAGTGCATACACAAAGACCTCTCTGCAGCATAACCACCTTTATCCACAACTTCAAATTCAACAGAGTTTTCATAGTAAATATGTGTGCAGCCTTTATCACAGGTCAGTGCTTCACCAGATTTTTCATGGAGTTGAAACACTCAGGAGAGGGAGTCAAAAGGAGATAGCAAGGAAATAGAGCTGGGAGAGTCCGAACAACTCTTGAGTGCTTTTTATTCAACCATGAACAATGCTCTACAATGCCCTACCTTTTTCTCTACAGATTAGCTAATCTGATTAGCAGAATCTGGCTAGGTGTGAAGAATATAAGGAACATTGACTTGGAAGTCAATGGATCCAGATTCTAGAGTCAGCTCACCCATTTCCTAAGTATGTTATCTTGAGCAAGCAGTATTCTTTCAACCTCAGTCTCCTGAGGGGTGGCACAAATATTACATAGAAAACAAACCAAGCTAGTGGGGCAAGGACAACATTAGATAAAGTCATCAGAGAAGGCTTCTTGGAAGAAGTGACAACTGAGCTGAAATCTGAAGGTAAAGTAATCAGCCATGGGGATAGTTTTTTTTTGGCAGGGAGAGGCATTCAAAGCAGAGAGGATGGCAAATGCAATCTTCCTGAGGAAGGAACACGCTCGGTATGTTTCAGAAGGCTAGGGTGGCTCACTCCTAAGGCTCTCTTGACAACTCTAGGACAGTTGTGTTTTGTTATTGTTGTTTCTATGTTTGTTCAATTTTGAAGAAATCATTTTATTGATGAAGTTTAGAAGGTCATTATAACAGTCAAATGGAAATCAAAAGGCAGGTAGAATGTCGTGCGGCAGTAGTTTTCAAACTTTTTATGCACAGAGGAGCAAGCATAGTTCAAAGCCAAATGAGAATGTACATGAACCTGAAAAGCTGTATGAAGCAGGGGCTGAACAAAGTTCAAGCAGAGATATATGTTTCTGCTTCTCAGGACTAAAGCCAGAAACCAGAGCTTTATCTGATCACATGAAATAGACTCACAGGGCTCTGGTTTTATGATTTTACTCTCTCAGCTGTGGGAGTTGACCTTTTCTGTGACTGACAGTCAGGTTCAAGAGGACTTCTATGAGAAACTAAAAACTCTTTCTGGGAGAAATTATACTCGTGATGGCAACTGTGTTGGATAGTTGCCTTGCTGCCATCTTGTTTTTCAGTGCTACAAACTTTTCATTTAGGAAAAAGCCACGTGGGAGAGAGGCACGGCAGGGAACTTGCTAAAAAAAAGACCCACATCTGATTCTAGCTCCTTTACACACTAGCTGTGTATCCTTGATCAAGTTACCAAGTCTTTTGGAGGGTCTTGTACTTCATCAAAAAAAGGAGAACAGTAATCCTTGCCCTGCTTTCCTCCTAAGATTGCTATGAGGCTTCAGTGAGAGAATGAGTATGAAAGTATCTTAGAAACTGTAATGCCCGGTGTACAAAGCAGAGAGTAATAGCATCTGTGGTGTCAGGAAATGTCTGGAACTTGGTGAAGACAGTGCTTTCATTCCACATCACTGGACTAGGTCACACTATTTTATTAGCCAGAGGGAAACACTCCACTACAGAGAGACAGACAGATTGATTTTTGAACAACAGAATTATAGATTTTACTTGCCTCTTTTGTACAGAATAATTTATTATAGCATAAACTAAATACAAGGCTCTGAATAAATAGTCACTTTTTTCAGTTATCACATTGGTAAGTATGTACATGCACGCTTTTGGGAGCACATAAGGACACAGATGGCATGGGCATGTTTCCATTCTCAGATCATTACATATTTCAGGAGGGGAGCCCAGAGTCAGGGTTCTCTGTGTGTGAGAGCTGGATACCTTGGGGTGAACACAGAGGGGACCCTCTCAGATGATTTTGATCATGTGACTGTGTCCTTTTCTCCTCCTGGTCCTGGTCAGGAAAGTGTATTGGTAGCAGGTTCCTCTGCTCTGGGGTTTGGGGGACTCTTCCATGCACTTCTACTCAAAAGTAAACACCTCTTTCTAAGAAAATACACATGAAAAGGATTCCTTCAGCTGTCAGTTTGGAAGTCACAACCCCTCACTCTGTACCTCTTTTCTAGGCTCTTATTCCCATTGGGAACCCCTGTCCAAGGTACAGAGCAGTCAGGTCTATATGCCAACACCAAAGGCTCTCACAGGCCTGGGAGCCCTCCCTCCCCAGCGCATCTGCCCCACGAGCGTCAGTCTGATATCGATTCTGTATGGGTAGCAGTAGTGAATGGCTCACATCACAGCATAAGACTGAGACATTGGGCGTATCAAGCCTGAAAGGAATCTTGCAGGTAATTGAGTTTCTTCTGATACATGACTTCCTTCTCTAATTGGTCTTTGAGTGGCCACTTGTACCTCCCATGTCAAGGAGTGCACACCGGGTGGTCACCAGCTTCCACGTCCACCAGTGCTAGCTGTTAGGGCAGTGATCTTCATATCAGGCTGACACCATTCCCATGTGACCTTTATCCACTTGTCCTGATTCTGCCTTCTCATGCCACTTGGCACAAGTAGAGCCTTCTTTCCTATGATAACCCTTCACAGGCTCCCGACTCTTTTTTTCCAAGCTAAGTCCTCCCTTTCCTTTGATTACTGCTTCTAAGATGTAGTTAGTCCTAGGAACACAGTCTCCAAAATGAGTCCCTTTTGGCAAAAGATTTTAGGGCAGCTTGGCTGGTGGGGAACCAGAGTCTTTTATCCCTGTTCTCTGCCAGCCATTTGGAAATTGCTGAGGATAGAATCACTAAGGACCAAGGCAAGAGTAACTCATAGTCTCTGAAAGACAAACAGACAATCAATTTTTAGTTTTGTTTTGTTTTTAACACATCTCTAGCCCAGGCATGGCACGATGCCTGGCATTCAGGCATTCATTTGAACAGAGGCCCTGGTATTAGCAAAGGGTTGTTTCCTCCTTCCACCTGGCAAATGGGAAACCCATTCTTGGCTTGACTGTGTGACCATGAGATCACACTGAACACACAGCCATCCTGGAGCTCTGTAATTAGAAAGTATGTGGAAGCAATATAAGGTTTGCTCAGAAGATCTGTTTAAGGCCTGGATCTGCTCTTGTCATCCTGAATCCCAGTTTTCTCATCCATGTGGTGGGAATGATAAGTGCCTCCTTGTCCAATAGGAAGAGAATTATGCAATTCAAGTGAGTTAGTGGAGGTGAAAGCACCTGGAGAGGGGCTTGTTAAGTATGAAGTGTGTACACTGACCTTGCTCCTGACTAGGCTATAGACTATCTCCAGCTTGCCCCTGCCCATAACCCTACACTTTTGGAAAATGAGAAAAACTACCGGTTTTAGAAAAGGACATTCAGACCTGCCATATCACTACTGAGGCTGACTTTGCAAAAGAAAACATTTGTTCTGTACCAAAGAAGAAAATGATTCCACAGCTTTGAAACACTGATATGTCTTCATGCTCTGTTTTAAAACCAGAATAAACAAGGTATCCTAGAGGCTAAGAGACATCATGTTCTCAGAATCAGCTGCAGTCACAGGGTTACCAGCTATGCTCAAGAGCTCAGTCAGGGAAAGGAATTCTTGCAGGTGCTATGTATAGGTAGCAAAGCTAGCCCAGGCCACAACACTCACCCACTGCTCACAATATTCACTTAGGATTTTATGTTCAAAATGAAAATTCTGCTTTTGCTTTAAAACACTATGGTGGATGTTCTCCCAGAATTAAGCATTGTCTCCTGAGCCAACAGAAACCTGGTTGTGTTCTATGCTGAATGAATCTAACGTAATCAAATTATAACAGTGATAAAATAAGGGAAATTTTAGTTTTGTGGAAACTGAAGCCTCAAACTTAAAGAACAGAAGGGTTTTATGAGGACTTACATGATGACATATAGTCCTGTAGCACAAGACTAATGTTTCTCAAAAATAATAGAGCAGAGGAGAAAAGTTCCTGGAGTTGGGCATGTGAGATGAGGAATTCCTAAAACACTGGAGAAATTCTTAAGATCGGGAGAAGTCGAGTTTGATCTGCTACTTTCCTTTCCTTTCCAAGAATACAGCACAGGCCAACCATGTCATTTGTGGGGACCAGCAGAAAATAAAAATGTAGGGACTCCTGTTAGAAAATTAAGAATTTCAAGATGGAAATAGCAGAGCATTAAACCAAGCATGGGGCCCTTCTAAGCATGGAACCCTGTGTAGTCACAGGTCACAAGCCTATGAAGCAGCCCTAAACACAAAAAACTGTACTTCCCAACTTCTGGGCCAACCCCCTGGCAGATGAGCCGGGAAAGAAAGGTGTGCCATTTGCAGGGTGAAGCAGTGAAGAGCCCACGTCAGCCTCTCCTTTCCCCCATCACAGTAAACATGGAGTCCTAGTGTTGAGTTGGCAGAGCCATCAGATTGAAGCAGTCGCCACTCTCAGGACAGCTGTTCCAGAGAGTCACTTGGACCACAAAAGAAGCTCTTGTGTGTTAAGGAACTGAGATTTGGGGGTTGTTTGTTATTGCAGCATATGTTGAGCTTATCCTTAATAATATGTAAAGGAAGGCCAGAAGCAGAAGAAAAAGCCTCAAATCTGAAAAGTACTACAAAGAAAAGAAAATTGGGCAGTGATGATTAGTGTGATGGTTCTCATGCATTAGTTTTTCCATCAATAAAGTAAGAATTCAAAAATGATCTTTAACATGTTACAACTCTGTGAGTATACATAATACTAATTCCCCTCAACTCATTAAAAAAAAGGAAAGTTATTGTCCTAAGAAGAAAGACTACATATTCTCCCCTTTAGCCTGCTGTTCTCTTGGTCCATGGCAGTCCTTGGCCCATTCTTGCTGTACTGAACATCTCCAATACTTTCAGAAGCCCAAAGGGAATGACTCTTCTGGGACAATGTTCTTCTCTGTAGAGAGTATTTTATCAAATAGACTTTAATCTGTCACTATGATTTGATAGGTATCCCCAAAACTCAAACTGATACTACAAGAGTCTTTTTTCTTTAAAATCACTGAAACTGGTCCCTTTTGTCATTGTTTCTCTGTGATGTCAATGTGGATATCACATTTCCTTCAAAGTTGTTCTTCATTGCTCTCAAATACCGGATTGCTGTAAGATACTCCATTGCCACACCCTGGCATATCAGAGTAGGAGGTTTGGTTTATTGGTGGCCAACTAGGGTCATTTGCCAAGTCCCTTTGCCATATCTGATACTGGCTCTTTGATTGATAGCCAAAACACCTTTTGATTCTCATCCACAGGGCTCTGTTTTCAATAATGGCCTCCTGAAAAATAAAAGAGTGACTTTTTACAATCAGAGGTCAAGTGTTTTGAGGCTACGGCCCTCTATAGACCATAATAAGGCAATACTGCAATGGCTGCTTAGAGTCAGCTTGACAAAGAACTTGAGCTCTGGACAGATCTAAGGTGGTTTCATTGGATAGGTCTTGGCTTCTCAAACTTTTCTATTTAAGTAACTCTTCTGGGAGAAGATAGAGGTACATAATTTCAAGAATCTGGAAACATAACTTGAAATGGTCTGCCTCAAAGATGAAATTTCTTTTGAATTTCCTATGTAAATTAAATTAAAAATCATTCAAATTCTACTTCATACCATAATCCATAATTGATTTAATATAAAATGACATTTAAAATTACTTACCACCAGATAGAATATACCCTCTGGAAAGATATGTGCCATGTATGCTTTATGTTTGGTATACCTGGCATATCTCAGTCATGAATATGGTTTGATGAAATAGAAATATAGGCCATGGTCTTGGAGTTGGACAAGTCTGGATTAAAGTCCCAGCCCTGATACCTACTATAAGTAAATTAATTAGCCTATCTGAGTATCTGTGGTTAGAAATAATAATTCCTTCCTTATGTTTGTTGTAAGGATTATACAACTCCTTTTGCAATGCAGGGCAGGGCAGGGCATAGCTCTCTCCCTTTACCCACCCTTCTGAGCTACTCATTTAACAAATGGCTGTGCACTGTGGCCCTGTTCATGCAAGCCTGTAACCTGCATGTTCACCGAAATTCATTTTCAAGATTACAAAAGATGTCTCTTTGGAAACATTTTGGACTGTCATTTTATTTCATGAGTTAGACTGAGCCTTGACTAGAGCCCAAGTTATAACTTACAATACAGAGTGCATGAGAGGTTATCATATTAACTTTCCATTTTTAACATAATTTGATCACAAAAGTTGACCACCTTAGAAGTTATCATGAAAGAAACAAAGAGAAAAATATGAGGAGCCAAGCTATCCCACATAATTAGTATTTTTGAGTATTTTTGCTGTATTTCGTATTCGGTATTCTGTATATATTTTCGTCCATCAGCAGTATCTTTGCTAAATAGAATGAATTCTGTAGGATTCTATAAGGAATTTTGTCAGAGATAGTAGTTTTCCTAAAATTCACCCATCTTTGCTCTTTGTGTCCCATTGCCCATGAAAAGGACAGAGAACAGCTATTCTGAATTGTTCCCCTGAAAACTGACCCATCCACTGGCTGGCAGGCTGTTAAGGACCTACATAGCCATCCCATCAGGCTCAGGGCTCACCTGGCCAGATCTGCTGTTCTACTTTCCCACAGCAAGGTTTTTTGTCCTCCTGCATTAACAAGGGAACAGCAGTTCTCCTTAGAGCTGGAGTAAGGCAGGAGCATTGGTATCAAGTAAAGGTTGTAAAATCTAACAAATGAAATAACAGAGGGAGAGGGAAGGGTTGGGGAGAGTAGGGGAGGAGAGAGGGAGAGAGAGAGAGAGAGAAAGAGAGAGAGAGAGAGAGAGAGAGAGAGAGACCTGAGTGCTCTCTGCCTTGCCTGTTTTTTAATTCTAGAAGAATGACGACTTGTATCACTTTGATGCTTTGGAACGGTAAACTGAAGCACTGAGAGGTGATCTGTCCTATTACTCTACATTGTAAATAAAATAGAGAACCAGAAACAAAAGGAAAGCCTTGATGAGATTCCATTTCTTAAAAATAATTCACCACATGAGCTCTTCTGACTGGCTCCTCAAATAATTCATACATATAAACATACATATATACAAACACATAAGTAATAAAAATAAGTGGGGTCTATTAAAGCTATCCACATTAGCTCCCAGGCCTCTCAGCTGGCAGTGAGACCGTGAGAATCAGCACAGTAAGGACAAGGTCTCATTCAAACCCGTTTGTTTTCTGGGCTGCTCTAAGATTAGGGTTAGAGGCTAGGGTTAGGTCTCAGCCAACAAAGCACTATTCAGAACTCTGCAAAAGGAGGCCAGCCATCTGCCATGCCTGTCCCCCAAAAACTCTCTCAACCACCTGTGCTGCAGGCTGGCCAGGCAGTATGTGGTTAGCACAGCCCACCTCAGGAACCCTTAGTTACTTCTGACACACATACCTAGAGCCACCTGAGAAAAAGCATCTTGCTGTGTCCCTGATAGTCTGCTGTCTTTACCTACTCTACTAGGTTCATCTCATGAGGTAGGAAATCTTAGTGTCCACACTCCTCCTTTACAGTTGCCTTCACCAAAGACTCACATGGCCTCAGTTTTTCCCTGAGTACCTTTTGACAGCAGGAAAAGGGAAAAACACCAAGGAAAGCAGCTGGAGGCTGCAGTAAAGGGCCTGGGGGTGAGAGCCGGTACCCTTCAATGTTACTTTTCAATTTAGAAGCTGCTGGGAAGCCACACTGAACATCCACTTGTGCATCTCTCTTTCTCACTCAAGCCACGTATGCGTCTCTATTTTTCATTCAGCATGAGAAACAAAGGAGAAACTTATTTTTCATGAGCATCAATTACCCTCTCCATCTGCTGGGATTGAGCAGGGTTGCTCCTCACATTTAATAATTGAATGAACCTTTACCCACCTCCCACTAGAATAACGCAGGATTTGGAGTTCTGTAGCTACTCAGGTAAGTTCTTGTTAGCATAGTTTAATGGCAGGTGGGAGAAGTGTATACACAAATGACTATAGCACTTTCCCCATGTGAGCTCCACCCCTCTGTCACTCTTATCCCCTGGCATAGCCCCCAGCACACGGCACATGGTCAGCAAATGCTTGTAGAGAGAATAAAAAGAATGACTGAATGATTGATCGATATGAAGTAAGAAATGGTAAGTGCCACAAGAGATACTAGAATAGTAGCTTGTGTTCATTAAACACCCACTATATGCTTTTCACTGTTCACATTTCATGTTTCAATAGCCCTCTGAGCTAGGGTACCATTATTATCACCATTGTACAGATGAGGAAACAGAGGCCCTTGTCAGCCAAAGTTGTTCTGTTTCCAGACTCCCAAAGAACTTCCCCCAGAACTCACACACAATGGTCAGCAGCCTGAGGGCACTTACCTCCACAACAAGGGACACGATGAAATTGAAGGTGAGCATGACAACGATGTAGACCCTCCACAGGACAGGAGTGCAGAGCAGCTGGTGGGAGATGACAGAGCACAATTAGTCTTAAGACAAATACATGCTGGACAAGTGTTCACATGTTCACAGTGTACATTTTTATAGGTTATAAATCTCTTATGTAACATACACATATATGCATGTGTACATTACATTTATACATTATATATAAAGAATTTCTGTGCATGTTTGCACAGAAAAATGTATGGAAATGTTATACTCGGTGATCCCAATGATTTGAGGGTTATGATTATTGCTCTGCTTGCTTTGTTTTGTTTTTAAGAGTGAACACAGGAATGTGGCTTTATCCCCAGGAGGCTCTAAAGGTACATGTGTCAAATCTCCACATTTGACAATATTGCCCTCTTCTTTCTAGGGCCACGTCTCTCACAAGATAAGCCTTGCTTCTGAGCCCTGGGTCAGGGCTTCACCCTCAGGACCGTGCATACAGCCACACAAGCTATACATTGCGAGAGTACTCACCAAAGGAGCAAGTGGGGCTGAAATCAAGCTTGTCATTACCTGTCCCTTTCCCCACTTTCTGTGCCTTCCCCAAGCCCTCCCAGGCACAGTGCCTGATATACGTGATGTCGAATGAACCAATCAATGGATGAATGAATGAATTTATAAAAGACGAGTGCACCCTATTGTACGAGTGCACTGCCTTGTACATTGTGTCCTACATCGGTGGGAGTAAAAACCAAACGACTGTGTGGAGGGCAACACTCTCAAAATGAAGAATTCAAATTCACTTCTAGGAAATTATTCCAGGGAAATACTTGTACATGGCTAAAATTATATAGGTACAGGTTATTTTATTGTATCCTTGTTTGTAATAGTAAAAAATTGAAAACAACTTAAATGTCAATAGGGGTTACATACAAAGTATGGTGTATATATAATACATGTTTATATGTAAGGGAATATTATATTAGCCTTAAAAAGAATAAAGAAAATTTATATACTGATATGGAACAGTTACCAAAATATACTGTTACATGAAAGAAGCAAGGTGCAGGACTGTGTATGTGGTTAGAGCGGCTGTGAAAATCTTCCACTCAGATCTGCTGATGGGCAACTTTGGCTTGACTTTCTTAGAACTGCACTGCAATCTGAGACTCCAGTCATCCATTCTCCTTCCTTCCCTCTCTCTTCACAGGGGCCAGACCCACATCCCGGTGTGATGCCCATCTCAGCTCCTCTGGCTTCCTACCTATCCTGCCCCACTCCAGACACTTCCTCCAATGAATCTTTTGCATGACTCATCCCTCCTTAACATCTCAGAAGCCCTGAACAAACATAATGGTTTTCTGCTACTTGTGTAAAAATGTGAGAGAACATACATATATTAAATACAGATATTTTGGTATATATGTATAAAATATGTCTCAAAGTATGTAAAATAAACTTGTATCATCTGTTACCTCCAGAAAGGGGAACTGGTGACTGAGGAACTAGGATGGGGTAGAGATTTTCACTAAATAACTTTTTTAACTTTTGGATTTTAAACCAAGTGAATGTATCACCTATTAAAACAATTTACATATACTTTTTAAAGTGAGCAGAATCTAGGTTGTAAAACAGCATGATTCTGTTTAAAAGAAAATAAGCTTTATAAATCGGTAAATGCACAGTTATATGAATTTTAAAAGAGGGAAGGATATCGTGAATAATGTTATAATTTCCTTTCCCTGCATGTTCTACATTTTCTAAAATGAACATATATTTTTATGTAATAATAAGAAAAAATTATTTTTAAAATGAACAATAATTCTTTGTGAAATCCTCTGCAGTCATGCTGACAATGACTCTACACAGGTTCTCTCCAAAACAAATAGGTTCCCTATTTTGTCATTCCAGGGGACTCAGCCTCTCTGTAAGAGTCTTCATCTATTAAAAAGTGTGACTAAAACCAACATGTCTTAACTTCTGCAAGATTAAGAAGTTTTAACTCACTTAGAAGACTAGTGGGCAGACTATTTCCATGAGTACTTAGTCTGATTCATGAAGACACTCAACAACAATAATGATTACATTGCTAACCACGGTAAACACAAAAATTTAAAAAACTAATATAGATGTTAGTTAGTATGTCAAATGTTACTGTTACTGCAGGTTCATGAAGATATTGCTGGTTTGGAATGCACCATGCACTCTAAGTGCTCATCTATATCTAGGAACCTGGTATACAATGATCAGTCAATCGTTCTTTTTCCATTTTTTTTTTTTTTTGTCATTCATTGTAAAAGGCATTGGTAATACAAGAATGAATAAGATATAATCTTGGACCTCATGAAATTCAACTTTGAAATGGAGAGGCAAGCAGATACACAAAGCACTAAGTTTGAAAACTCAGTTTCTTCAATCATCTCTTACGTATTTCATTTATTAGTCTAAAGAATATTTAGCAATGATTACATTTTAATTCGAAAGTAGGATCAATTGGAAGAATCAAAATATATGTTTTTCCCTTGCTTGAATATGTAAAATTTTGGTATCTTGTAGGTTTTCAAAGCTGTCAAAGGTAAAGTATGGCTCTTAGGAAGTAAGTTTTGCAGGCAGTAAGTATGAACATACAGATAACCATGTTTTTAAAGATGTAAATAAATGTAAATAAAAATTTGAGAATTAACCGAAAAAAGTGTTATAGGCAAAACTGTTTTAAATAGCTTCAAAATAGAAACATTTAGAAGAAAATTTTCTCACATTTGAAAGAAAACATGCATAAATAGATTTTCCAGTGTTACATGGGATCTTTTAAAAGAAGAGTTTTCCATACTTTTCAAAGGCTGTCTTTAGTCTCAGAAAATCAAGACTAGATAGAATTTTCTGACCAGCTTAAATAAATCAGCATTCTTTTTAACTCTGCCATCCCAAAAGAATAATTGGTGTCAAGAATCCATGTCAATTGCAATTGTGACCTGCTTTTTGAAGTCAGAGTATTACATAACTGTAAACCATCATCAGATCCCAGAGAGGAGACTTACATCCAAGCGTCTATATAAATCTGGTATATCAGCAAATAGAATGAATAGACACACTCCCAGCTGTGTGATCAGCACAAGGACAAATATATCTAGGAAATAAGAACACAAGCTATCATTTTGAGAAATCAGAATACAAAAACATCACATTTATTGATAGATAGAATCTAGATTAATACTGGTTAAGTTTACTTGATTTCTACATCCAAATATAGCAAAATAGATGGAAAGTACTCATTTCTATGAATGGGTCTCACCTCTACAATTTCAATGCATGTCCTTCAGGCAAGTGGAAAATTTCACATGCATGTTATAAGTTTCAACTAATAAAAGTGGTAAATATATATAGGGTAACATTGATAAAATACATTTTCAATAAACATCTTGAAAACATCTATCTGAGTCTCTTTAATGCAACTCATTTGTCTCAAATTCTTTTCTGGCAAAAAGGAAGGCTATAAATAAACAAATTTCAAAATTGCAGTCACGTAGAGATTAGCATTTGACTGCTTCCTTATCCCAAGAAGAAGAACAAAATAATTTTCTCTGAACAAACACATTTTTATGAGGATATTGATTCTTCAATTTGTGCCTCCGAATTTTCCCAATTAGAGGGATAGTGATGGTATACAAACAAATGTCCCAAGCTAGGCATGGTGGCTCATGCCTACAATACTAGCACTTTGGGAGGCTGAGGCAGGAAGATTGCTTGAGGCCAGGAGTTCAAGACCAGCCAGGGTAACATAGTGAGACCCCCATCTCTACAATTTTTTTTTTTTTTAAATTAGCCAGGCATGGTGGTGCATGCCTGAGTCTCAGCTACTCAGGAGGCTGAGGCAGGAGGACCACTTGATCCCAGGAGTTTAAGGTTGCAGTGAGCTATGATCATGCCACTGCACTCCAGCCTGGGCAACAGAGTGAGATCTTGTCTCTAAAAAGAAAACAATATGTCCCAGAGATTAAACGGGTTACCCACTTCTCCTAACACACCTCTTCACTCCAAAATGTAAGAAGGTGGGAAGTACTTTGGCCAAGAACCTCCACAATCCTCCGTAGTCAGGTTCCTCCAGACTGGGCCCACTCCCAGCCTGCTACCACACCATGCCAACCTGACCATTGCCTTGACAGCAGGAGACAGGTTCTAACTGAGTGCTTTTACCCTTCTCCCCACCTTTTCGAGGGAAAATTCTAACTAGTATTGACAAATAGAGAAACAAATTGGTCTTCCCAACTTAAAGCGATCCCAAGAAATTATACCTAGAGGCAAACTTCTGGTGAAGGGAAGAGATGGAGAAAGAAGCCCTAGTATTTAATGTAACTTTGAATGAAGGAGCAAAGGACCATGAACATGACATTGCACAATGTGTTTCACAGAGCCCTGGAGTGGAAGTCAGGAGCCCCTAGATGAAATCAACTCTGCAGCTGCTCCCGAAGTGAACTGGGTATGTCTGTCTTCCTCTCTGATTACTTTTAACTTCTCATCCAGTACAATTCTACTCACAGTTTGTATAGGTCGGCTGTCTAAATGGCTTTCCTTTCGAGAATATAACAGCCACAATGATACAGTTGATTGTTCCCAAGAACCATATAGTGGTGTTCTCAAAGCTTGTGAAGGCACCATTACTTCCAACTTTTTCTGGAACAGTTGGATAAATAGTTAACATTGAGGCGTTTTCATTTTGCACTGTACAGGCACTAAAAAGGAAACCAGAGAAACTAATGAAGCAAGATGACAAGCCCTTATGGAGCATTTGTATCCATGACATTCCACACCAAAGAGTGTCCAGAGCAGACACTCAATGATTCTATAATTGCCTATACTTTGATTAAAAAAAAATACACTGAAATATAAGAAAAAAAGAAACAAGCACACACAGATCCATATTTTTGATTCATTAATAGAGATGATAGATAGATAGATAGATTCAACCAGTGATTCATTCAAGAAATTGGGCACCGATCATGTATATTAATGCTATATGGGAAAGAGTTGAGTAAGTCAAGATTCTTCCCTCAAATGGCTTAAGATCTCTGATTATTTATAAGTAAGATGACCATATAATTTATCATATAACAGGGACAGGTTGGGAAGTGAAAAGGAAAGACTTTAATAATATCACTGGGACATTATTTAATTTTTTAAACTAGGCTCTTAAACTAAAGCTGCCCAGGCAGACTATAATCCATTGTCACCCCAGATATAAAAGATGGTCATAGATCATTATCATATAACACAGACAGGGATAAGTACTAATGAATGATACATCAAACTGTGCTACAGAGAAGAAACAATCACTGAAAATTTGCCCATAGGACTTAAGGACGCCAAAATCTTTGGCATGATGAAGACACACTTGCTTCCCATCATACTGGCTTGATGGAAATTAGAATGTGAGAAGCTGAAATTGAAACTGTAATCATACCTGTGCATCTCCATGGAAAACCAAGGCTGCCTCTGAACCAAGATGAAGCCCACAATATGCATGACCAGGCTGAGAAGAATGTTGAAGATCACAGAGAGCAGCAGAGGTGGAGAAATCAGCTGTCCAGCAGGTCTGAAAGGCACCAACTTGGGGTAGGCACCGTTCAGATTCACTACAAAATAAATTCAAATTTTATATTTATGAGAGCAAAAAAATGATGTATTCTTGATCAGAAGAATGGTATAAGTTCTTTGATCCATACATCTGAGGACATGGACAAGTTGGAGTACATCACAAATTAAGGGAACAAAAAAATTAATGAATGCAAATTCAAGTTATACGAGGAATTCTTTTTTTCAAAATTTTTACAAGGGTACAAACATTTGGGTTACATATATTGCATTTGCACTGCCGGAGTCAGAGCTACAAGCATGCGCATCCCAGACTGTGAAAGTAATATGGAGATACCTCAAAGAACTAAAAGTAGAACTACCATTTGATCCAGCAATCCCACTACTGAGCATCTAGCCAGAAGAAAAAAACACATTCTGTAATAGAGACATCTGCACTCAAATGTTTATATGAGGAATTCTTAAAAGAGCAGACATAGAACCACAAGATGTCATTTTTTGTCTATCAGATAGGCAAATACTATTAAATTACAGGTAAGGCAGTAATGAAATGCACCCTCTCATATATTGCTTGTGGGAAAGTAAATTGATGTAAGTCCTCTGTGGGGCAATTTGGCAATAAATATGAAGAAGGTGAAAATGCTCATAACTTTTAATGTAGTTATTTCACTTCTGGAAATCTATCCTAAGCTAAAAAAGTAATCAGACATGTGGAAAGATGTTTATCACAGCATCATTTACAATAAATTATGATACATCTATACAATGAAACAACATGTAATCACTAAGAAGTAATGCTTTAAAATATTTAATGACAAATAAAACATGACATCAGCAAAATGGTGAAGTAGGCAGCTGAAGCTCCTGTATCTCCACAGAAACATCAACAAACGAACAAACTGTAAGAACCAACTTTGTCAGAACTCTGAAAAACAAAAAAGTTTACAGCAACCAAGAGAACATTGAACCTAGAAAAAGGCAACTTTGACAGGAAGAGCTTTGTGGCATTTTTACTTGTACTTGCTCTATGACCTGCTCAGCTCAGTGGCAATCTTGAAGATGGTAGCCTACATTCTCAGTGGGGGATCCTGGTCTCTGGTAACACAGGAAGCAGAACAGATTTTATTCACAAATTATTGTGTATGTCTGTTCCAACTTGTCTGGGAGCTACCTGAAGGACAGATGTAGGCACTCATTTATGTTTCAGAAACCTGACACAGAACACACTCAATGCAGAAAAGCAGCATACATTACTAGAAAGCACTGAGGAATATAGAATGCTATGTACATGCCCATGACAAGAGATATGTACATTCCCAGGACAAAGTGCATACTCAGAAAAGAACAGAGAAGATCCTAAACTTTTAACTCTAGATGATCTCTAGACTGAGTGCAAGCCTGACTAAGTGCTGAATAAGTACTCTAGCACAGAACCAATCTGCAAAGGTCGAAAGAGGTATTTTGTTTATTTGTTTATTAACTCCTAGAGCTCAAGGAGATCTCTGCCAAAACACCAGCTGAACAAAAGCAAAAGGAACAGACACTTCAGGGACCACACATGACAACTAATACAGTCTTTACAAAAATAGTTTGGGAAAAATCACTAAACAAATGGACTACTCCAGCCTTCAACAAACAGCAAAACAAAAAATATCAAACTGTGGAATAGTAGAAGAATCTAATTTTCAGAGTTACCACATTGTAATAGTCAATGGAACAATTGACAGAAATCATCTCTGAGATTACATAGACATTAGGTTTAATAGGCAAAGACTTCAAAAACAATTGTCTTAAATAATTGCTCAAATAACTAAAAAACACAGTGAATAAAGAACTAAAGGAAACCAGTAATACCATGTATGAACAAAATGAGAATGTCGATAAAGAGATAGAGATTATAAAAAAGAGCCAAAAGAAATTCTGGAGCTGAAAAGTAGAATAAATTAAGTAAAAATTTTATCGCATGGGTTCAACAGGAAATTTGAGCAGGCAGAAGAATCAGTGAACTTAAAGATAGGGCAGTTGAAATTATCTAAACTGAGGAACAGAAAATAAAAATAATAAAGAAAAGTGAACAGAGCCCAAGGGAACATAATCATTAGAACATTAGAACATAATCAAACAGACTAACCTATATGCTATGTCCGTCTAAGAAGGAGAGAAGAGAAAGAAAGAGGGGGAAAAAATCTGAAGAAATAATGGTAGAAAACTTCTCAAATTTGGTGAAAGACATGAACCTGCATATCCAAGAAGCCCAAATAATTACCATAGGGTAAGCCCAAAGAGATTCACACCAAGACATTATAATTAAACTGTAAAAAGCCAAAGACAAAGAGAAAATCTTGAAAACAATAAGAAAGAATTGATGCATCACCTATGAAGGATTGTCAGTAAGATTAACCACTAATTTTTCATCAAAAGGCATGGAGGCCAGAATTCAACAGAATGATATTTAAAATGTTGAAAGGAAAAAATCTACTTATTATTAAACAACATGCACCTAAACAACCAATGGGTCAACAAAAAAATTAAAGAGAAATTGAAAAATTTATAGAGACAAATGCAAATGGAAACACAACATACAAAAATCTATAGAATATAACCAAATAAGTACTCAGAAGTTTACACCAATAAATGCCCATGTGAAGAAAGAAGAAAGATCTTAAATAAACAACCTAAGTGTGCACCTCAAGGAAGTATAAAAATAAGAACAAACTAAACCCAATATTAGCAGAAAGAAAGAAATAATAAGGATCAGAGCAGAAATAAATGAAATAAAGACTTAAAAACAATACAAAAGGCCAATATAATGAGGAGGGGTTTTTTTTTAAAAGATAAACAAAATTGACAAAACTTAGATTAAGAAAGAAAAAGACGCAAACAAATCAAATCAGAGACGAAAAATGGGACATTACAAAAGGTAACACACAAATACCAAAAATCATGAGACTATTATGAACAACTGTATGCCAAAAAATTGGAAAATCTAGAATAAATGGATAGATTGCTGGACACATACATGAAGGTCGAAACATGAAGAAACAGAAAATATAAACAGACCAATAATGAGTAAAAAGATTGAATCAGTAATAAAAAGTACATCATCAAAGAAAAGTCTAGTACCTGATGGCTTCACTGCCGAATTCTACAAAACATTTAAAGAAGTAATACCAGTAATACCAACAATTCCAAAAAACTGAAGAGAATCAAATACCTCCAAACTCATTCTATGATGAATGAATGAGTTTGTATCACCCTGATACAAAACCCAAAGAAGGACATAAAAACAACAACAATAACAACAAAAACCATAGGCCAATATCCCTGATAAACAAAGATGCAAAAATCCTCAACAAAATGCTAGCAAGCCAAATTTAACAGAACATTAGAAATTTCATTCGACTGGGATTAAACTTGAATTGATCAAGTGGGATTCACCCCTTGGATGCAAAGGTGGATCAGCATATGCAAATCAATAAACATGATACATCACATTAACAGAATGAAGGACAAAAACAATATGATCATTTCAATAGATGCAGAAAAAGCATTTGACAAAATTCAACATCTCTTCATGAGAAAACCTCTAACAAATTAGGCACAGAAGAAATGTACCTCAACACCAAAAAAAAAAAAGGTCATATATAACGATATAACGAACCCACAGCTAACATCATACTGAATGAGGAAAAGTTGAAATCTTTTCATCTACAATTTGAAGCAAGATGAAGAAGCCCAATTTTGCTACTTCTATTCAGAATAGTACTGGAAGTCCTGGCCACAGCAATTAAGCAAGAGGGGGGAAAAAAGGCATTCAAATCGGAAAGGAGAAAGGCAAATTATCTCTATTTGCAGATGGCATGATGTTATACATAGAAAACCCTCAAGACTCCACTTAAAAACTGGTAGAACTAATAAACATGTTTATTAAACTTGCAGGACACCTGAAGGTGTTTGTTATGGAGAAGAGAACCATCACAATAAATGAGAACTGTTTTCAAACATCTGAAGAACTGTTCTGGGGAGAAAAATCAGACTGTTCTGTGCCACCTCAATGGCAGAACTGGGGTGGGTGAAAGTTATGCATAGATAGATTTGACTTTGTGTGAAGGGGAATTCTGCTAGCAGAGTTAACAAAGCTTGTCCAAGGGTGTTATTTTAATGGATTTAGCAAATATCTAATAAACTCCTTTTATATATCAGGCACTGTAGAATTATTGGTATCAGAGCACTGATCAATACAGACAAGAGGCTGTTCTCATGAAGCTCACTCTAGATGAGGGGAGGCAGGTAAAAAGCTATAAAAACTAAGGTAAATATAATTTCAAATATTGTGAAAAAATAAACAGAGTTGTGTGATAGAGAATAATTGGCTTGATCACCATTTAAAGTGATCTTTCTGAGGTGGTGACATTTGAAATGGGAATAATAAGAAAAAGTCAAAGTCAAAGCCAAATGAAATAAGGCAAGGTATTTCAGGCCAAGGGAAGAACAAAGGCAAAGGTACTGAGGTGACCACAGCTTGACAATGTTCAAGAGACAACAAGACCATTGTGGCAGGAACGAAAGTGAGTGGCAATGTGGTTGGAGGTGAAGTTGGAGAAGTAGGCAGGAGCCCAATCACGTGAGGCTCGGATTTAGTGGAAATGGGATGCCATGGGAGCATTTTAAGCAAGAGAACGACATACTAAAATTTACATTTATAAATAACACTCTTACTATTTATTGTGTGAAAGGTAAACCGGGTGAGGAGGGAAGCAAGAAGACCAGCTATGAAGTTGTTACAGGAGTGTGCAAGAGAGGTGCCTTGCTTAGTGACAGTGGCTACCATGAAGATGCAGAGAAGGGAAGCGGGGTGTGTTTTAGAGATAGAGCCAATAGGTATTCTGCACGTATTGGATGCAGAGGGTGAAGAAAATAGAAAAAGGAAGGATAACTCTAGGTCTTTGACTTGAACAACCGGGTAGAGGATGGTGCTGTTTCAATAGAATGTACGCTCCAGGAGGAAAGATATCTTTTTTGTTTTGTTTTGTTTTGTTTCACTGATACATTCCAAGTGCCTAGATCAATAAGTAGCATAAATTAGGGATTCACTAAGTACATAAAGATTTCACTGAATATCAGATCTGGTGGAATTAAAAGATCTGTTTGAGCACATTAAGTTTGAATCCTATTAAATATCCAAGATTATATGCTGAGTAGTTACATTTCCAGAGCTCTGGGTAGACATCAAGGCTAGAGATACACATTTGGGATTCATAAACATATAGATAACATTAAAGTCATTGGTTGGGTTGAGATTACTTAGGGAGATGGCATAGATTACAAAGACAAGAAGAATCCAAGAACAACACTTGGAACATTGTAAAAGTTAGAGGACAAGTAAAGGAACGGGAGCCAGCAAAAGAGATGGGGAAACTGTATTCATTAAAGGGTAGATATTCAGGAGTGTGTCGTATCACAAAAGCCAAGAGAAGAAACACTTCGAAGAAAAAGAGTGCTATTGAGAGAGTAAGTACAAGGAGAGACAAGTGGCCATTGTTGTTGACAGCAAGGAAGTCACTGAAAGACCTTGATAAAGGAGGTGGCTGTTAAAGTACAGAAAGCAGTTGCTCCACTTGAGCATGTTTTTTTTTTTTTTACTTTTGAATAAGTTTTTAAAATTAATTGGTGTGATAGCTGTTAAATTTAAGATGAGAAGATATAATAAGAAATAGTGTA